AGCCAAACTGGCGCCTATTAAGCCACAACACATGTCATGTACGACCCATAATGGGTCATAATTAATGAAGTGTTTCTTTTACTTTTTTTATATAGCCTTCCTTATAATACAAATTTCTATAAAATAAGGGGTGACAAGGAATACTTCGGATCTTTTGGAGCATTATTAGTCTATTTGAGCATTTTTTAGATTTTCTTGGCCTTTTCATAAGCCCTCTGAACATTTTTCATATTCACTCCAAGTTTATAAGTTCTTATCTCTTGAGATTGCTTTCTAGTAAGATTAGGCATCATCCAGGAACACATTTGACTCCTATTACCACCCAAATGACTTAGTGAGCAATGTTAGGAAGAACAAATAGAATTTTCATATCATAGAATATTATATAATTCTTGAAACTAAATTATCTCTTAGTATTAGCCTGTAATATTTTAGGCTAGTTGTATAGCCCTTCATGATTGGCCTTCTCTTGAATTTAACTGACTTCAACTTTTTTCGCTTCCTTCATCTACATGTACCAATTCCAATATTTTCTCTCCCACTCCCCATAAATCCACTACCACCTCATCAACTTTTATGGTTTTCTGGGCCTAATATCAGTTTTGCTGCACTCTTATAATAGTTGCATTAATCACATGGTCACCTTCTTTCTTATTTGTATTCATATTACAAAAATATAAAGAAAACAATTCCATTGACTTCAAACATTTGAAGACGAATTGAGCATTACTACCCATTTAAGATATTAGAATTGGCTAGAATTGATAGTCTGTAGATGTGGAGGACAGATTTAGAGGTGAGTTCACTTGTAGAGTACTTCTAAATTTGAGATGATACATGATACTTCGATAATTTGAAAGATTAATGCTATTCCGACCAAATTTAAACAACGTTAACCCTTACCTGTGTTGAGAACAACTTAGTCAAATGAATTTACATTCATTCCACTGAGATGCTGCACTGTCGGAATTTAAAAATAAAATTAAATAAAAAATAACAAACATGGAATAAAAAATAAAATTCAACTGGAACTATTTCCTTTGATTTGCGGGTTTGATGATTATGAAAATTGCATAATTGCATATTCTTTCACATGTATTTAGCGAGTAATATGTCATGGGATGGCAGGAACCCTCTCTCCAGTGGAGGCTTAAGAGATGAATTCGACTAAACGACATGGGTGACTACATGCCTGAAGCTCATAGAACTCACTCAAATGATCAATATGTGCTACTTGACCAGGCTTACTAAAATGCTAGCCCAGCTGAGTGGAATAGGACCTCAGCATCAATAACTCGACACCAACCACCTGCTTGGTTGTCACAACTCGAGCCCATCTTCTCCACAATCATAGATCACTTATTTTCTCATCAAGGCTATAGAAGGTTCGGCACAAGCTGCCAGCAGCTTTTGGAGCATTCAAGCACCTCTTCCTCGAAACTAGGGGCATCAAAATGGGTCCGCGGGTTGGGGTTGGGTCGAATCCGGATTGACCTGGGTTTAAACGGGTTGACCCTAACCCAACCCGACTTTGCAAACGGATCAAGATTGCCAACCCGTACTTGACCAACGCAGGTTACTGGGTTGACTCGACACGACCCGACAACTAGCTATTTTTTGAATTCCGGTTTTAAATGACTAAGCGTGTGTCATTGTGGTGAAGGCGGATTGGGCTAGGTGGCAGGAGGCCAGGTCAAGGAGGGCTAGGGCAAGGCTGAAGGCGGGTTAGCCGAGGCGGCAGGCGGCCAGGCTGAGGAAGTGCCTTGTGCAGGTGTGTCAATTGTCGCATGTTGCATTGGCCGCTGGCCCGGCTGGGCACATGATAGCATGGACGCGTGGTGAAGGCGGCCAAGCCGAGGCAGGCCGCGAGCGAGTGCTAGGCGAATAGGTGTGTGATGTGCGGATGCCATATTGGGCTTGGGTGAGAACGACTCCCCGCGTGCTAGTGGGCTAGGTCAGGCGAGACGTGTGGTAGTGCAACACAAAAGGTAGGCTAGCGAACCCGGACCCGAGTCAACTTTGGGTTGATTTTGGGTTGCCGGTCAACTTAATCCCGACCCAATTTTAGAAATGGGTCATATTTTTTAACCCGAATCTGACCTGTCTAGCAAAAAGGTTGACCCAAACCCAAAATTTTTCAGGGCAGATCCAGGTCGGGTTTTAGGTCTTGTCAAATATTGACACCTCTACTCGAAATTCGCGCACAAGCTCACCCACTCCTACTCAACACAACCAAGTTCATCCAAATAATGGAGCTCGCCCAATGCACACTTAGCACTACTAAGTTACCCATATATAAGGTAGTGTGTAGCATTATATTTTTAACATTTTCTTATATTTTTTTTCTATAGCCCTCATAACTCTATAGATAATGGGTCATGAGAAACAGTTTAGAGGACTAAGGTAGTGCATATTCTGCTAATTTTGAGGCTCACAATTTCTTTAGTATTCTATGCATTTTCCTTTATTCTCTCTTTCCTAGTTCTCACTTGTCCTAGCTCACCATATTTAGCTTGCTAATAAAATCTGGTATTTCCATAAATAAATTTGGATCTAATGTCCTCTCATGTATAGTAAGCGTAGATTGATACCACATACCAACATACAAGCCAAAACAAACGAGCAAGTTAAATAGGAGCCTTCCTTGAATATGGAGAAGGTCGACTACATTACGCGCTAAAACCTCACGGAGATGGAAGAAAGAATTATGAAGACACTTCAAGACGCCCTGGTCGGGGTCTAAGGGCAAGCACGAAAGGACATCACCTCTAAAGATTCTTCTAACTCAGCAGTCCACCACAAGGAACAAAAAGATCAAGTACTAACGTCGACGCCCATTTTTGATGCCACTCGCACCAAGACGAATGATGATAACTATAGTTTGCTGGCCAGGTAAGATAGAAGAGCTGAGCCTAAGCTCACGAATGCCTTCTCTAGTACAATCACAGAGGCTAGTCTAACTCTCAAGTTCAAGGTGTCACACCTAGAGTTTTACAAAAGCAAGGATGAGCCCACCAATCACATGGAGATGTTCGACCCTATGACTTCTTTGTTGGACATTAACGATGCCTTAAAGTGGTTCTTGCTTTTTAGGAAGTTAAAGGAATCAACATTTAGGTGGCTCACTTATCTACTGTTAGGAGTGACCACCTCCTTCACTAAATTCAAAAGGATGCTTGTAACTCAATTCAATAACACTCAAAAGCACCAGAAGATCTCACAAGCTCATTTGAATATGACGCAAGAACCAGGCACATTAAGAGCTTTATAGTGAGGTTTTAAAAAAAGATGTCGGAAGTGATGAATCTAAATCCTATAGTCGCCCATGTAGTAGTAACCCAAAGATAGATATAGCATCCATTCAAATTTGCTATTGGCTTACAATAGCCATGGACACTTGCTAAGCTATTGGAGCTAATTAACAACAACGTCAATACTGAAAAGTATAACAAGGTGGTCGATTCTTCATTAGCCACTCGCCCTCATGAATTTTTAATCAATGAACTAAACATATACTCCCATATGCCTTCACATGTATTTAATAAGTAACTTGACATGATATGGTAGGAACTTACCTTCCGGGGGAGGCCCGAAAGATGAACTCACCTAGACAACATGAGTGACTACATGCCTAAAGCTCAAAGGAGAATTCTCCCAAAGGATCAACAAAAGTTACACGACCGCGATTACTAAGGAGCTCGCCCAATGAAAGGTAACCAGGACCTCTGCATCAATAACTCGACACCTACCACGTGCTTGGCCATCACATCCATTAGTCACTCCCTCCAAAGCCTCCAGCTCACCTTATCATGATCAGTCGATCATCGAGACCGTCATGCCCACAATTGCAAATCACTCTCCTTATCCATGCAATCCCAGGCTCAGACTGCTAACAACTTTCAGAGCATTCAAGCACTCTTCAAAGCTCACTCGCAAACTCACACCTCACACTCGTATACCAAACTAGCCCAGACTATGTAACTCACCCAATGCATACTCAACACTTCTAAGCTCGCTCAAATACAAATTGATGGAGCTCTACAACCCCTACTTTCCCTCAACCAATCAAGAGGAGCCAGTATCTAGGGTAATATGTATCATGGTATTGTCTTTCTTGTAGCCCTCATAACCCTAAAAATAAAGGGGCATGAGAAACATTTTGGAGGATTTTTAGAGTGGTATAATAAATATTCTACTAATTTTTAAGTCTCATAATTTCTTGAGTATTCTAAAAAGTTTTATCTATTCTTCTTACTCTCCATTCTCACAAGTCCTAACTCACCAGATTCAATATGCTAGTAAGGTCTAGTATTTTTCACGAGTAAATTTAGATCTAACAAAAATAGTCATTGAAGCCCATGAAAAATATAGATGAAAACTGAACATGAAATAAGCTAGCAGAATAAAAGGAATAATTTCATAGGTTGTACTGGAACAGAAACGTATACATAATCAATTAATAACACTCGGAAGCTATTGATGTCTCAGTCTTTTCCAAAAAATGAAACACTAAACTTTGAAGTAAAGATAGTTTGGGCATGAAATCTAAACAATTGGTAGCTTACCATAAGAATTAAAGCATCTCTAGAATCCGGGATAACGTTATTCAGAGCATGCATCTTTCTTTAGATGGATGCACTGTTTGCAAATTCTTATTTATGATTAGTTTAGGTTCTTCAAGCCTGAAAAGAATGTCAAAGGCTTCCAAATTCTTATTTATGATTCAGAAAAGCCTGCAAAAAATAGTCTATGCATGCATTTGGCAAATGCTTGAGATGAGGCCTTAAGAAAAATTCTTGAGCACGAAAATTATAAATACAGGAAGCCAAATAGATAATCAAATAGATCGCTTGACTATAATAAAACTTTACTCAAAATAGATTACAACAAAACAGCAGTTAAGATTCCAAAATTATATTAGTCATAGATCCTTGCTTTAAGCTTCGTCTGGGTTTCTTTCTCCTAAGCTTGATCTTCACTAAGAACAAAACCAACAAGGATTGTATTCAATTGCTAGAAGATCATTATTATGGGCAAAATAACTTGCCCTGCCAGTCAAAATTTAAAAAAATGATGGCCCTGCATAAAAAAGATAACATATTTGATAAAAAAAATACAAGGGTGTTCACAACCATATTCAAAAGTTCCAAACTGTCATTGAAGCTTTTGTAACCATAAATATTTCAAATCTTTGGAGGAAACTGACCAAAGGAATTTGCATAAGCCTCTTCAAGGTTCAAATTACTGATGTCTAATTGAAAGATAGTAACTGCTAGTCATTCGCATACAGATCAGACTTGGGACAGACCTTCTCACTCAGACTATGCACAGCCAAGTGTACCTCGTATGTATGAAAAACTTTTTTTACCTCAGAAGCCAAGGCAGCTCAAATCCCATATAAGGATACATATAAGGATATGATATAATGAATCAGATATAACATAAAGAATACCAATCTCAACTAAAGGCCATTTCTTGAAGAATTTGCAATGTCTTCTCATGAACCTGCAAGGGGGAGAGTTTAGTTTATTCACTTGCCTTGAGTTTCAAAATAGTAGCAACTGAGGAATTATAAATACCCATTCCAAATGTTGTGCCGTAATGCCAGACACGTTTCCTGCATATATTCCACCCAAAACCTAGCAGAGCAAGAAACAGTAAAAGAAAACCACTATTGATATCAAATGTCATTTATAGCGCAAGGAAAAATCTCTATCCTGAAACACAAAATGGATAACCTTGGTAACAGTCTCAAGGAACATCCCAGGACGAACAGGTCGTGGCTTACGACCTGATATGCTTCCCTTGAAAAAGTCCAAAGAAAAACGATTAGAATGCTTTCTAGACAATTTTTCTAATGTAATGTAGCATCTGCATATATTGAATTTCTAAACAACAATAGTCCTTACAAATTGCTTAATAGTCAAAAAGAATGAATAAATAATAATTGCAGGGCAATTAAAGAACAAATAAGAGAATAGCAACATACCCTTCCAGTTATTCCACCTAGCATCTGTTGCTGCTGGCCTCCGGAATCCTTAGTGTCAGCACCTTCATCTTTACCATGCAAGACATTTTCAATCATTATCTGGATATTCTTTCCTGGCTTCAAGGTAACAAGCTTGCTCAAGAAGTTGACCTGCAGTTAAAAAGCAACTTTCTGCGCGGTGAATCAGTTAGATTCTCTATTTCACTAAAACATGTTTGGCAAAAAAATATCAAACCACAAGAAAACTAAGTTGAAAATGCATTAGAAGTTTAATTAAATACTTGATCGCTAGTGTCGAGACTTCTAATAAATAAGATTAGGTTTTTATACACAAATTATCATAACAAAGCCTATGTGTGTTTTTTGTTGAAGATTAGGTTAACTGACTTCTTATGATGACCTTTTTCTGATTTGTAAGTCCTTTCAATAATCTATCAAAATAAAAAGGGTAACTTATACTGATTCCTACCTCTTTCTGGATCTAATAAGAATTTGGTTAAGATTCATGTTTGTTGTTTTTTATGAGAAAATTGATAGCGTTTATGCCTTCCATCTACTCTTAGTGAAGCACCAGAATTTGACTCAAAGCGTGGATTTAGCAATGCAACCATCCCTATAACGTGCAATTACACAAGTGCAATCTGCATTAGTTAAAATCATATCCAACATTCTCACACCAAACATATTGATAGTAGACATCATTTCATTACGGCTCGCGTAGCCTAAAGAGATGTATAATTACAACATTTAGATATTGAAAATCAATTGGCAAATATTTTTATCAAGCCCCTTAATTATGATCCGTTCTACACACTTAGCACTAGACTATGTATTATTGATATAAGTGTTTAATGACTTTGGGGTCATTGAATGCTAAAACAGTTGTTTCTTTGTGTTTGTACTTGTGTGTTTGTATTTGTATCATTTGTGTTAAATGTTTTCGTGTTTTTAAGTTTTTGTGTGAATGTTTTTGTTCTGCTTATTTTTTTTGTTATCGTCTTGTAATTTTTGTCAAATTTTGTGTGCTTGTACTTGTAAAATTTTCCCTGATCATTCCACACATAACCCTAGAATTTTCTTCACATCATACTGTACAATATACATATCATACTATACTTATTTGTTCTGGACGATCTCTTATTGCTGATCGTACTATACAAATAATTCATAGTATTATATGATAGTTGTAGTCAACTAGTAGTACCGAAAACTCCTCAGGATGATTGAAATTACACTGATCGTATTGGACGATCACCGATCATACTGTATGATTTGACCTTTGATTGTATGTTCCCGAACAAATGTTTTGGATGGATGCGATAAGACAATATGATCCACTGATGTACTATTCGATCTACCCAAGCCTATAAATGAGAGAGTTTTCATTTCATTTTCTTCACACCTCCAACAAACTCTCTTCTCACTAGCCTACACTCTCTTCATTTACTTCCAATGGCTCACAAACAAGGTAGAATGGGTCTTCATCGTAGGGTTGATGATAGGTTTGAATGTATGAAAGACGAGGCTGCATATGAGCAATACAGGGCTGCTTCCATTACTGATTAAAAAATCTCGATCAGGAAATCCTATCATATCAAGTACTCAAGCTTTTTAACGCTACCACACTCCAGTTCCTAATCTATTTAACATTTCCTCACCACACAGAACTTCTTGAATTCTTTGCAAACCTACACATCATTGTTGATTGCACCACCATGCAACCCCTTGTGTGTCAGAAACAAGTCATCATCACAGTTGATGAATTGCATGATTATCTCCACTTATCCAATATTGGTCAAATCCCCATATGTTGTTTCATAAACCTTAGATTATAATTAGACCACTGTCAACATCACCATTAGAAACTCTCCTTTACCTAAGAACCAGTCCTTAGTAAGCACCATGGTACTAAATGTATGAGCTATCCAACACATTCTTTGAAACAATGTTATCCCAAAAGCTAGTGACCGTATCAACATCACTCCCTTCCATTCATTGGTCACCTACTACTGTATGACTGGCAAACCTTTTAATGTAGTGATCATAGGTATATAGACAATCTAACCTAAGAACCCTAGAGCCCATAGAAAGCAAAACTTAGCTCTATGACACATTATTGCTTATGTCTTAGAATCGAAGTAGAACCTGATTTATCCTAGACCACCAGCCCACGTTCTTCAATGATAATTCATTTCATATTATCTATAGTGAGAGACGTAGGACAATACTAGGTGTGGTCACATCCGACTCCAAGGAAGACGCAACAATAGGGGGAGTATCAGCACAACCTCCTCCTCTTATTGCTTATCATTACCCCTAGGATGCTTGGACTGAGCACTATGCATGGTTGAATCTGAAAATCAACACCCACATTGAACAGTCCTAACAGCGTTGGGAGTTCACCTCTTGATGGGAGCAGATGCAACAACATCACCAGGCAGATCGTGCCTGGTTTGATGACCAATTAACTTCTCTACACCACTACTTTCAGCCACCACCACCACCACAACATGATCAAAGTCATTCTAATGAGTAGTGTGTTGTTTGTAACTTGTGATAATTGTATTGTGTGATTGTACTAAGTGTTTTTAGTAGTTCATTTACTTTGTATTCTAGTATGTTTTTTTAATTCATCTTTTTGGTGATATCAAAAAGGGGTTTAGTAAGTATGTTAGTTGTTATAGTGAGTATGTTGTTTGTACTGTTTACTTTTAAATTGTTGCAATTTGTTCTATTTCATTTCAATATTGGTTATGCTGTTATTTCTATTAAAAAATGTGTTTCAAAATAAAAAATATATAAAAAATTAAAATTAATTAAAAAAATCAAAATTCAAAATATAAAAATCAAAGATTTACCTATCTTAAAAGAGGACAATTAAAGGGAGAACTTAATTTGCAAATTTAAGTCCCAACTAATAATATTTGTCATCATAAAAAAAAGGGAGATCATTGCGATCCAGGAGCCTGACCTTGTGTTTTTATAATTATAAATATTATTGATTGTTTATTTTACTTGTTACTACTTTATATATTATAAATCTTTTCTTGTGGATCATTAACTTTTCAGGAACATCATACACCAAGCTAAAGTAAAAAATTAAGGCTAAATCAAGTATGCATCAATGTATAAGTCAAGTCATGTGTGAAACATTCAATATTTTTCATTTTTCTTAGTAAAAAATCAAGGCTAAATCAAGTATGCATCAGTGTATAAGTCAAGTCATGTGTGAAACATTCAATATTTTTCATTTTTCTTAAGTCATTTTCTATGTGTTAGTTGGCTAAGCAACCATACACACACACAAACAAGAGGGATTAAAATTGAATATTTTAATTTTATATTAATCGTACTGTACAGTCCAAACCAAACTGTACGATTTATTCAAACAAAAATTAATTAAAATATTTAATTTAAATAAGAACAATTAAAAATGGAGTATAACTAATCGTACTATACAGTCTAACCATCATACAGGACAATTAGTTATTTTGAGAAACCCCACCATTAAATCCTAGTTAATTAAATTTTTAAATTTAAAATGATCGTACTATATGAACCCCTTTAGTATTATACAAACTTTAATTAAAGTTGCCTAATTTAATTCCTATGATTAAGGAATCAAATCAGATCAAATTGACATTATACTACGGGGCAAACAAATACATGGGAGGGAAGCAGTCGACTCAACCCGCTGGCTCAGCAAGGGATGATCCAGCAGAATTGGACGGACAACCCATGAGCGAAGACAGCAGGTTCGTCCCCTCTTGTGGGGGCCAGTAGAGCTTTGATTAAATACACAATTAGAAGAAATAAGGAGGGAAATGATAAAGGAAAGAATTTTAATTTTAAAATAGAGAAAGGGGGGGGGGAATAAATTAAGGAATGTGTTGATTTGGAGGGAAATTAGGGGATTTAATTAGGGTTGATTCTAGGCTTTGTTTTTAATGTTTTGTTTGTGAGTTTTGTTGTAGTTTTTTTCAGAAGCTTTCGCTTGAGGGCTTCCTAGCGACGTTTAGATCAAGCGGGAGAGATGATCTACCTCTCTAATAGTAGATCATTATATTTGCCTTGATGTTGAAGTATTAATTCAAAAAATCAGCCGTCGTTTCTCAATTTATGCTATTTTGGCAACCTTTTCTTGCTGATTTCGTCTTCAAGGAGTATCAAATTGGTATCAGAGCACATTTTGAGACCTATCGCAGCGAAGAAGATGGAGGTATTAGAAGGAGAGATGGAGCAACTCAAGGTCGGATGGAGGAGAGATTTTCTGGAATGGAAGAGAGGTTCTCATCCATGGAGAACCGCTTTGAAAACATTGAAGATATGATGAAAAAGATGATTGAAATGCAATTGAAGGCTTCGCCGGCTATTGCTAGGGATGATCGGAAAGGGAAGACAGTGTGAGAAGATGATGATGAAGTGGAGAGCGTTTTCCCTTGGGGACCACCTAGGGGGATTCCGATGAGTGGTGCGTCGGGACATCAAGAAGAGAGGGAAGCGAGAGGAAGGGAATCTGAACCCTTTTGGAGACCACCTAGGCGAGAGGAAAGATGGATGGGAGGAAGTAATGGTTGGGCCAAACCATGGGGTCCAAATCTGCCAAGGCAGGAAGGGAGAGAATCGCTCCACCAATACAAGGGAGTAATCAATGGGGGAGAAACTATTGGGGTATGGATGCAAGATTGGGAAAAAGGGAAAAATGCTCAGGGATGGTTGTACCGAGTGGAGCATTATTTTGCTATTAACGGGTTGATGAGAGGGAAAAATTGATGGCAGCAAGTCTATGTTTAGAAGGAAAAGCCCTAGCTTAGTTTCAATGGAGGGAAACTAGGTATCTGATCTACTCACGGGGATAATTTAAGGAGTGTTTGTTGGAACATTTCTGAGCTATTTGAGAAGGAGACCTCCATGACCAGTTCTATGCCTTGAATAAGGAGGAGATAGTTATGGAGTATCAGGAAAGTTTGAGTTGTTGTCAGGAAGACTGAGAGGGATCTCTGAGGAAAGACTAGAGGGAAATTTAATGGAAGACCTTAAGGATGACATAAGGGTCGAGCTCAGGGTATTGAGACCTCGAGGACTTAGGGTACTAAGACCTCGGAGATTTAGAGAGACAATAGAGCTGGCGCAACGAGCTTGATAACAAG